ATATATTAGAGCTGAGTTACATCCTCTCCTGATACTGCAGCTGATTTTAGAGTCCAAGACTTGTGTTTTCACCTCCTGATTCTCTGTTCTTGCTTTAATAGGACCAGTTTAAGCTTGATGTTGCGGGATCACTTAGAACAGTATCATGATCACCTGTTTTGCTGCACTGCAAGATATTATTCCTATTTTAATTGGCTTTGGCTTTATAGACGTATTAACAGAGAACTGGCAAAAGTGATTGGTTGTCTGAGTTTCTGTTTGTTCTGTTCTTTCCATGCTGGTACCCACCTTTTTTCTGGTTTGGGGTCTTTTGTGTTTGTTTAGCTGAAATCTGTTGATGATAGCAAAAAAAAAAAAGAAAAAGGAAGTTGGCAAGGAATGAAAGAGTGCCTAAAAAGGATGATGTATTGGGTTTGAACCTTGGGGAGAGGGAGAAGGAAGAGTGAAATGGAACTAACCTGGTGTTCACGCGGACTTTTGAAGCTGTTCTTGTTTGCTCCCTTTTGTTTTGCAGAACGCGCTTCTGCCCGCAGGCTTCCGGCAGAAAGACCAGACTGCTAAAAAGGCTTCGGGTCCCTTTGACAGGGAACGGCTCCTCGCGTATTTGGAGAAGCAGGCTCTTGAGCACAAGGACAGGGAAGACTATGTGCCTTTTACCAGAGAAAAGAAAGGTAACGCCACCCTTTCCGGTGTAGGGGGTTATGAGATCTCTGACGTGGACCAGCCAGAACTACTGTGAACAAAGTTTCCTGAAGCACTGGCAGCTCTAATGGTTTTAACTCGTGGCGTTTCCAAATGAGTGCTGCTGTGCAGAGACGGGATGCTGCCTGCTCAGGCGTTTTGTGGCACTGGGGCTGGCGTGCTGTTTGCGTGTAGCACAGGAAGGAAATAAGACTCGAAGATTTTATCAGAGATTGCAAAGTTCTGCTGGGGATGGTATCCTCGAAGTTAGAGCTACCCCTGATTTGTGTCAGTAATAACAAGTGCTGCCATCGTGCCTGTGGCGTATGCCTTGTGGTGCTGAGTACAGACAGTAGCATTTGTAACACTGCTTTGAATTTAAAAAATAGCAGTAGAATGATGATGTTGTAGATAATCAGTGGTGTTCAAAGACACTGCAGGCTGACAAGGCCAGGCAAGTGGTGTGTGTTTCTAGTATCCTTACTGAGAGGTTTAATAAGATTGCATGGTTATTACCAACTAATTACATAGTTAACGTGGCAAGAGGCTTTGAAATCTGACAGTGGTTTGTGGTCTAAAAATCATGGAAATGTTGACCCAGTGAGCGGAAACATTATTATAGCCTGGGAGTTTAAATCTTTGTTTTGGATCTAGTCTTCCCATTGACGTGATAGGAAGCATTTTCCCTTTCAGAAGAAAACTAAGAAAGACTGTACATCTTAAATATTGTAAGAATAAGTGGGTTTTTTTCCCCCCTCCGAAACAAGAGTTCTCCAATTTGCTGTGCCTCACAAAGCACTATTGCTAGGGACAAAACCTCCCAGTCCTGTGCTGGGCACATGTGCATAGGAGGATACTTTTAGCTGAAACCACCTTGTTTGTGTACTGCTTGTGAATCCCAGCGTGTCTGAACATTCCCCAGCAGCAGGGCAGATCAGCTGCAGTAAGACTTGGGTGAACTGTTTATTAAGTTGTATTCCAAGTGTCCAAGATGAACAGGCTTCTCCCTTCTTAAGGGTTTGAAACCCTTGAATTCTACTTAATTCTGAAGCATTGCTTGTTTCAGGCTTGAGCCTTCATTCGTCTGCTGAGTTTGTGTATATGATTGTGACTGTGGTGGATATTTGGTGAAAATTTGGGCATCTTTGCATTGTCTCTGCCTGTACCAGGATAGCTGTGACTTGGCAATGTTGGTCTGTCTTTTTGTTTTCCTTAAAGTAATAGACAGATTGTGACTTTGTAATATGATGTCCTGCTTCCTTAATACACTGTGTTTTGCCTTATTTGTGTGTTTTAACACCACTTTTGCTGAGAGATGATAACTGTGATGCTCCTTTGCTGACAGGAGAACAGGAGTTTGCTGCCTGAATCTGTAAGAGACACAGAGCTAAGGATAACGCAGTGAATTGAATGTAGAAGGCAGTCAAAGGTACCCATAGCAGCAGTACCCTCTGCTGCTGCCAGGTACCTGTTGATCCTCTGTTCTGCTGCTGCTTCCTGCCTTGTTCTGCTTTTTGCCCAGCATATTTGCTAGTTGATGTTGGAGACAGCCTCGTGGTTTAGCATGGTTGAGTTCAAGCATATTCAGCCCTCGTGGCTGGTTTGGGGAATCCCTTGCAGCCTGGCCTGCTTGTACCCCACTCCTTCAGGATGTGAGGCTGGGGCATGGAGGATTTGCTCTAGTTAGGACTTCTTTTTCTGCTGAATACTCGTGCTTCATCCAGATTGGTGGTTCTTTAAAGTCATCTTACGTATACGTGCACCCAGCAAAACTATTTGTTTGGGTAGATAAAATCAGTGAGAATCGTGCAGAAGACCAGAAGGGTCCAGCTGTAACGCAGATCTTGGTTAGGAGAGGTCAAATGTCATTTCCTTTATGTAATAAAGTATTGCTAAATAGCAATCTGTCTAGATGTTGCAATATGTCATACCAGTTTAGTTAGTAAAATTTCCTGTATCGCTTTAAAAAAAAAAGAGTTGCTATTTAACAATTTTATCTACCATTTATTTTAGTACCACAGAAGAAGAGAAAATAATATAAAAAATTAATGGTAGTTTACTTTCATTAAAACAAAAAATGTTCATTAGTTAGTAAAATTTCCTGTATCGCTTTAAAGAAAAAAAGAGTTGCTATTTAATAATTTTATCTACCATTTATTTTAGTACCATAGAAGAAGATAAAATAATATAAAAAATTAATCGTAGTTTACTTCCATTAAAACAAAAAATGTTCTGGGTGGAAATTCATGCTCTGTTAAATGGGCAGGAGGAGGCAAGAAGGCTAAGCCAGCAATGTGCCCTTGAGCCAAGAAGGCCAACGCCATCCTGGGCTGGATGAGAAGGGGTGGTTGTAGGGCAGAGAGGTTCTCCTGCCCCTCTGCTCTGCCCTGCTCACACCACAGCTGCAATCTTGTGTCCAGTGCTGGGCCCTCAGCTCCAGAAGGACAGGAACTGCTTGAAAGAGTCCAGCAGGGCCACAAAGTGATGGAGGGAGTGGAGCATCTCCTGCTGAGGAGCGGCTGAGGGAGCTGGGTCTCTTGAGCTTGGAGCAGAGGAGACTGAGGGGTGCCCTCATTCCTGGGGATCCATTGGGAAAGGGCAGTGTCAGGAGGAAGGAGCCAGGCTCTGCTCTGGGATGGCCAATGCCAGGACAAGGGGCAATGGTCCCAAGCTGGAGCACAGGAGGTTCAAGCTGAAGATGAGGCCAAACTTTGTGAGTGTGAGGGTTCTGGAGCATGGCCCAGGCTGCCCAGAGAGGTTGTGGAGTCTCCTTCTGTGCAGACACCCAAAGCCCTGGCCGTGTTCCTGTGTGACTGCTCTGGTGATCCTGCTGTGGCAGGGGTTGCACTGGGGGAGCTTTCCAGGGCCCTGCCAACTCCTCACATTCTGTGATTTTTGTAGTAGGTGAGGGATAACTTTTTCTCCTCATGGAACTGCTATGGTTCAGCTCTGACTTGCTGCTCTGTTTGTAGCCGTTTTATAAAAAAATGGCAAACCTATGTAACTTAGTTTTTAAAATCAAGAATTCATGACCTTTATCTACATGTAAAACTTGGAAAGGGAGTGAAGTAGAACTTGTGTAGGATGCTTTTGTATCTCGAGGAAGCTCTTATCCTAATGTGCTATTCTTTAATGTTAAAAAAAACAGCCAAACAACTGTAATATATTATAATTATTTGGTTTGGCTGGATAAGTGTATAACAGAGAAATGCTAACAAATTGTGGAATAGAGGTAGGTGAAAATCTTGCTTGATTATTTTGTTAATTCAGAAGAAAATTGACAATTGTAACCTTCAGCTCTAGAGGTCTTGGGAGGAGAGAGATGGATTGGAGTTGCAGCTGGTTTGTTTTTTGTGGGTCAGGCTTTGCTAAAATATTTCTGCGTGCCTAACTGGTCTCATTGCTCTAACTTGGTCTAATTATTCATTTGATGGAGGAAGAAGAGTAAAATCTATCCTCCTCTTTCCTGTTTCAGTAGAACTGATGTCCTGTGTGGTGATTTGACCTGCAGGTTTGTCAAAGCAGCTTACCCTGGATTAATTCTGAACATCCTGGCTTGCTACTGGTTCTGGTAACCTTGTTTCCCTACTGCAGTGTAAAGGAAAATCCTCTCTCCCCGTTGTCTTAGGTACCTCATTTTGGGGTAACATGTTATTAAAACAGTGTTGCATCTCTTTCACTGATAGATGACATGATTTCTCCAAACCTTTGGAACATTTTTTTGCTGTAGGCTATGAAATGTGGAAGAGCTGAAACCTGATGTAGTGAGATGAACAGTGCTAAAGAAATGTGAAGCTTAACAATCCCTTAACTATATTCTATGGCATTTTTTCAGTGCCTGGTTTTGTTCCTCAAAGCATCCTTAAAAACATACTTTGTTTTTAAACATGATTTAATGACTTAAGTCACATTCTGTTCCAATTAAGTGTTGAACCACACAGTAACCAATTGTTCGAGTGATTCATGAGGGCGATGTGGTAATAACTTCAACAAAACTAGCTTTGTCTCAGTCCATCGTAAAGGTTTTACAAGCGTGCTGTGAGGAGAAGGATCTCTCATCTCACCAGGGAGTGGAGGCTTCAGCGCTGCAGTCGGTTGCCCTCCCGTGTGTTCCACACATCTGACCAATGCCCCTCGTTTCTCTTGGGACAGCGAAAGATGAGAATTACTGCCCCTGAGATAAACGTATCTAACATCAGAGATGTACTTTGTGCTGTACAGTGCAAGGCGGTAGGAAAATACGATGTGAACTAAGGTTTGCATTTCTCGCCTTTGCACTCTCCTGTGGCTTTCTCTTCCAACTCTCCTCTGCGTTCCTGCTGGGATCTGTTTTCTCTGTGCAGATTTGCATTTCATGTAACTTCTGCTTTAATGTTGGGTTGCTCTGTTTGCTTTTATTTTTTTTCCCCTGCTTTACCACCCAGAAAATATTGTTAAGCTGAAACTGTAGTCACCGGCTCTCCCGGTGCTGCCCTGCTCAGTTGTTGCTGCAGATCACCGTTCACTTCTCTTGCAGCAGAATTTGGGGTGCTGTGTTCTCCGTTTGCCTTTCAGTCACCAGTCTTTAAAAGGAGTGTGTTACGTGCTGTAAATGAAGGCAATACCCTATAGCAGCTTTGGAGAAAACTTCTTGTTTGACATTCACCACAAAAGATCACTGGAACAAAACAACCTGTGATACTCCAGCCTTAATGTCCAACAGTTTTCTAACTCACTGCTATGTGCTCTGTAATCAGATAACGAATAGCAAGACTGCAGCAAGACACTGAGGAGGTCACTTGTAAATTGAATTTTAAAAAAAATAGTATTAAATTGTGCTTACAAGTCTGTCACACGGCAAGAACTGGAGGTTGATGAATTGTGGATTATCTGAATTTCTGGATTGATGATGCTTTAGGGAACATAAGATGTATGGAATACATCAGATGTGGCTTGCTCCTGATGAAGTCACTGATGATTCTGTTGTCCTCAGGTGACACTTGATTCCTTATTGCAAAGTGACTTCCAGACTTTCTCCTGATCTGCAAGTCATGGCCACTGGCTGCCTGCTAGCGTGGGGGTAGGACTGAGGGACGTGTGTGAGTACCAGCAACGTGAACAGACCTGATTTCTGAGAGATTTTCAGTCCCGCCATAGATACTGTTGAGTCTGTGCATGAAACGTCTCAGCTGCTTCATCAGACATCATCCTTCGTTCCTGCCTTTTGAGCAGTGCTTTTGTGTGGAGCTTGGAACTGAAAGTTCATTCTGTAGCAAAGGGAGGCTGTGAATTCATCCTGGGCATCATTTGACACCTTAGCTTAAGGCATAGAAGACCTGGAGTTATAATTATTACAGAAAATACGTGAACATCTCTGAAATTTGCCTCCTCTTGTTGTATTGCTTCATCTTTGCATATCCTTGTTGGCTGAAGAGGAGGATGTCATGTTCCTTCATGTGATCAGATCCCTGCTATGTAGAAACACTCCGCTTGAGAGCCAAGAAAGAGCTGCTCATCTCATGGGCTGCACAGATGTGCAGCGTTGGGGTTTTTTTTAAGCTTACATGACTAAGATAGGAAGAGACCTGCCAGCTGTCTTGGAGTTAAATCCTTGTCCCCAGAGACACTGAGATCTAATCTTTGATTGAAGTTCCTTACTAGACGTGGGGAGTGGGGAAGGACCTGCCTTTGTATGTGCATCGTGCACCTCTGAACTCTGGGCTAGGAGGAGATGAAGTCAGCACAAGAGAGATTATAGACATAAGGGTGTGAGCTGTTTTATAATAAAAACTGCTCCTGGCCCCGTTGATGTGACTGGAGTTCACTGCGATGAGCATTTCTGGATGGGAGTGGCTTTTAACATTTTTACTCCAATAAAATCTCAATGTACTTCTTTTTAGGTTACCTTAAGAGCCAGGCACGTATGGATAAATTTAGTCTTACTCTTAGGAAGCAAATATCTAGAACCAGAAGTTTCTAACTTATGAATTTAAAAATGACTTCAAGTAACATCGGGAAAAGTAGTTTTTTTCCTGTGGGTACTGAACCAGACAGGAGGCTGATGTCAGCTGGAATGCATTTTTGCAAAGTTGTCTCTAATTAAGATCAGTTTCCTTCTCCCACTCGTTGCCGGCCATGCTGATGCTGCAAATAGGATGACCTGAACTTTCCTTGTGCTCTGAAATCCTCACTTGTTCCCCAGTCTGTACTACTGAGGGAAAACAGTGCAAACACAGCTCGTGAAAGGCTTTAGATCAGGTGTCTGCTCTGCAGGGTGTTTCATGGATCAATGGAAACCTCATCAAACACTCTCATCTCTCTTCTGAAAATTACTATGTAAGGTGAAAGATATTCTCTCCCCAGCAGGTGATGCTGGTAAAATGAAATGGGAGTAGAAATGCACTGTGTCAATTACATCAAGCTAATGTTAAACGTTTACTACCTGAGCCTTCAATTTATGAAGGCTGTTTGTTCATCCTGAGTCACCACCAGCACAGTTTCTTCTGCGCTGTCCATCAGAGCGGAGGTGTGGGTGGTGACGCATGTCAGCTGCTTCCAGCTACTGTTTGTAGTCAGTACAGTTACATAAAGAGATTTATTTTCTGCTTCTAAATATGGGCAATGACCATTTATACAACTTTCCAAAGAGATAGCAACCCGGGAACAAAAATACCGTGTTGCTAGCAACAGATCTTGGTCATCTGTGCTTGGCACTGGTGAGGTTGCACCTCGAGTGCTGTGTTCAGTTCTGGGCCCCTCACTATAAGAAGGATGTTGAGATTCTGGAGCGTGTTCAGAGAAGAGCCACAAGGATGGTGAGGGCTCTGGAGAACAAGCCTGATGAGGAGCGGCTGAGGGAACTGGGCTTGTTTAGCCTGGAGAAGAGAAGGCTGAGGGGAGACCTCATCACCACCTACAACTGCCTCAAGGGAGCTTGTAGAGAGGTGGGTGCTGGTCTCTTCTCCCAGGTGATGGGGGATAGAACAAGGGGAAACAGCACCAAGCTGTGCCAAGGGAGGTTCAGGTTAGAGCTAAGGAGGAAGTTCTTTACTGAGAGGGTCGTCAGAAGCTGGAACAGGCTGCCCAGGGAGGTGGGGGAGTCACCATCCCTGGATGTGTTTAAAGAGCGGGTAGATGAGGTACTTAAGGATATGGTTTAGGGGGTAGACAGGAACAGTTGGACATGATGATCTCAGAGAGCTTTTCCAACCGAGCGATTCTGTGATTCTGTGATCAGACTGTGTTATCAGAGGAAAACCTGATCTCCTCCTGTGTAATCTGGGCCAGTGGTAATGTGTGAAGTTCCTTTATGATAGTTTGTGGTTCGTTGACTTTTTAATTTAGGATGGGAATTTGGAGAGAGAAAAGGTGGATGGGTTTTGTTACGCCCACGTCTGCTCTGGGACACAGGGGCTGACTTCAGGCGTTGCTTCCCACAAGTGGTAAAACCAAAATCTCCCTTTGTCAGGATTTCCCAAAAATAAAACCGAAATATCGCTATAAAGCATCTTGTATTTAAAAATGCTGAACTTAGTCCAAGCATGTAACAAGATACACTTGTATGCAGCACAAGGAAAACTGTATCTTAAGCTGCTGGCTTCTGCCCAGCTGGTGTGATTCTGGTGCATGGTGGGTTGTCATGGTGTGATTGGGATGTGCTGCACTGGAGGAGCTTTCCAGGTCCCTTCCAACTCCTCACATTCTGGGATTCTGTGTGATCCGACTTTTTGTTTTCTGTATTCCAGGGAAAATATTTATCCCCAAGCAAAAGCCTGTACAGTCTTATACAGAAGAAAAATTCTCTCTGGATCCAGAACTGGAGGAAGCCTTGACCAGTGCCACAGACACAGAACTAGGTGACCTTGCAGGTTAGTTTTTCTGAAGTATGAATGGGCTGCTGTGTATTTAGACAAGAAAGAGCTGTAATTAACGTGGTATTTGTTATCTGAAATGTGACTATGGGAAGTTGTAGTTGTGCTACAAACTAGATAATGTTATATGCCAGTTTGGTTGAAGCGGATCATCTTTGATTTGTGATAATTAATAGCAAGATAAATCATTTTGACCTGCATAAGATACCTGATTTTCAAACTCAAACCCTTTACGTTCGTTCCTCAGACTGGCTGGTTTTTGTTGTGTACACCACTACTTTTCCTTGCGTGTAAGAATGTGTTGCTATGTGCCCGCGTTCCTAAAGCATCAGTCAATAATTTTGTGACTGCACTGCACTTTTAACTCTGATGCTTGAACGTGGCGAGGTCAAATCTTTCTAAGATGTAAAAGCGAACTAAAAAGTCTATAATTAAGTTTTTTTCTACTTTTCATTACATTATTAGGAGACTGAGTGGCTTATTGTACTGGGAACTCGGTGTTTTACAAACAGTTGTTGTTATTTAAAGGGACTCTGTGCCTGAGCTGAATTATTCAGGACCAGTAAAATTGGTTTTTTGCTGCTTTTTTCTTTTTACAGCTATACTGGGAATGTCCAACTTGATAACAAACAATCAGTTCTGTGATGTAGTAGGAAGCAGTAATGGGATTGACAAAGACAGCTTCTCCAGTAAGTGTGCACGCAAGTGCCAGATAAATGAGTTCTTTGTACTGTACACAGTTACTGTAGCATTAACTTCCTTCTGTTGCATTCTTCATAGACTGTTCAGTCTTGAATTGGGAACGTGCATGTCTGTAACATGGCTGATTGAGTCCTGGCAAGAGTGGAATTAAAAGATACCTTTGTATGCTAGAATCTATTCTGCCATTAATCCACTTGTAGGGGGGTAAGAGTAGGCAGGCATGTGCTTTTATGTCTGTTAGTTTTGAGGTTTCATGGGTTTGTGTTTGTAATTCAACTCCTGTGTGCTTTCTGAGAAAAAAGCTGGTGGGCAAGAAAGCAGAAAGGCTGTGAGGAGCTTTGGAAAAGAATTGAACTTTATGAAGATATGGTCAGGAGAGGATGGTATGCTTTGAGGTGGGGGAGACATTTAAAGGCTGATGAAAGTACCTTTAAATACAGTAAAAATTTAGTATGTGTATCATTTATTCACAGTTAATACAATCAAATGTTTTACTTTTCAGATATAGTCAAAGGGGAAAAAATGCTGCCTGTTTTTGATGAACCACCAAATCCCACAAATGTGGAGGAGACTCTGCAAAGGATTAAAGATAACGATTCTCGTCTTGTTGAAGTGAATCTAAACAACATTAAGGTAGTTGCCTGAAGTCTGCAGTAAATATGCTGCTTTTTCTCAGTAGAAGACACTTCAAGCCGTAAAACTCTGTAAGAGAGCATGATAGGCTTATTCGAAGTACAGCAGCTAAACGTTGCAGTGTGTGTAAGCTCAGAAACCTGGAGCTAAACCAATAAGCCATCTTGGTTTCTTTTGCCAAATGTGTATTTAAAAAGTCTTAGGTTTTCTTACTGCCAGCCCAGGCTGCTGTTGCTGCCAAGTCGGTGACAGTTGCAGCAGTTCAGAGCTGCTTTGAATCCTTTGTCCTTGAGGAAGCGATGTGCTCTGCTGCTGCTATTGCAAACAAAGTGATATTTGTACCTGACATCCTTCTGATTCTTGTACAAAAGAGCTGTCAGCAGTTAGGGCAGCTTCTGCTTAGGAGTGTAACAGTTCTGTTTTTAAAGACAACTGAAGCTTTTGTGTATTTGCTTGAAAGAAAACAGAACTGTAGCAGTCCTGACTTCCAGTGCAGACAGCAGTGACAGGCTGCAAGCTGCAGCCTCGCTAGCAGCCCAGGCCACTTGCTGCCCTTACTAAAGGAAGAAGACAAAATCCGTGATTTAAGAATATTGTACAGTAGAGAAACGCTAGCCAAGGTAAACGCCTAAAAAGGCAACGGAACAAAATATCTGATCCCATAAACTCAGAAATTTGCTAGCCTAATTAATTATCTGTAATTGTTCCTTTTAAACTTGGTTGCTACCACGCTGTAAAAATTCCCCAACTATAAATTGGCAAATTCTGGAATTATTCTTAACAGAACACAGAAAATGAAATGCTCATTGTGTCACCAGTCTAACACTCTAAATCTTTTTATATTTGTGGGAGGTTAATTTGATGTTGTTAGCAGAATGCTCTGTTCATGGAAATTTTGCTCAGTAACGTTTCCAGGTCATCTAAAGACTTTTTTTTAACGCTTCTGTTGTGGCAATGGCATTAACGTAGTAAAGATGACTTTTATAGAGTTGCAGACTCCAGCAGCCATTGCGTCTTACGTACAGCTGTGCTACACATGTAGGCCTCTGCTGTGAGACTGCTGGAGACCAGTGGTACTCAATATTTTAGTACATTTTGCTGTAAAGAGAATAAGATGATGGAAGGAGTTGGGGGGGAGGGGATAAAATTGTGTATCTCCAGAGAGTGAAATGCTATTTTTAAATCTAGAACATACCAATTCCAACGCTGAAAGAATTTGCAAAAGCCTTAGAAACCAACACGCATGTGAAGAATTTCAGCCTTGCAGCCACCCGAAGCAACGACCCCGTTGCTGTTGTAAGTATGACATGCTTAGGTGGGGTGCAAGTTAAGCTGCAAAGACAATGGTAAGGGATTGGATTGAATCCCATTTAAATATCTAGGGATGAAAATGATTACATTCTGTCACACTATAAAGTGTTTTCTGTAATAAACCTTTTTTAATCAGAGTTGACAAATGATTACTAGCTATCTCATACACAGTATTCTTTAGTTTCCTGGTGTTCATTCCAACAAGCCAACAGCATACTCAAAATTAACTTTAGAAGAAATACATTTGAGGACTAAAAAATAGCTTGTAATCTTTTTCAACTAACTGGAGTTTGAGTTGAAATCTGTATAATAAAATACCTGTTTCTCTGATCTCTCTGCTACCAAAGATTGGCTTAAAGCATTGGCACGTAAAGCATAACACTGGTCAAGGCATCTCGTTTGACACAAGTGAAACTTAAGTATTTATCATCTGGTCCTATTTTTCCTATGCTGAATCAAAAGCAGTGCCTTAGTTATTTGCAAAATTAAGAGATAAAAAAACCAGCACAGACTCTTTTGCCAGGACAGTCCTTTGCGTTTGTTTTCATTTCAAATGAGAAAACTGGTTTGAAAGACTTCATTAAATGGACAAATGAACATTTGAGATCTTTGGTTTGGGTCAATGAAAAAGTTCATTTTCAGTGGAGCTGAAACATTAGTAATAGAAGGTTTGTTGTGTAAGGGGTGTATGTATAAAGGCTTGCTTTCTTGGGTGTGGTTTTGTTTGCATTGTGACTTGATTCAAAAAACACTTGAAGGTTGTGATTTTTGCCAGCAAACCTCAGCAGTTACCTTATTCTTTCTTGTTTTCTCAGAAGTAAGATCAGGTGTATGCCATTTCCATGAGGCTGGTTTTAGCTACATGCTGGTACTGTGCTTAGGGCTTTGAAGTTTACCTGTTCCTACCAAATCTGTAGACACAAGCATTTTGAAAGTCAGATTTCCTGTTTACAAATTAACCGTATCTAATTCTCCTTTCAGTTGACTAATGCCCTTTCTTTGGCCTTCACTTGCATTTCTCATTGTATGCTGTGAAGGCCTGCAAAATGGAACTGGTCCAATATGCTAATTGCAGACAATTTATATTCTGCGTAGCTTTTTAGTTTGTAACAGGAGAAAGACAGGCCTTTTCTTGACTAAATATTATTTTAAAGGGAGTGTATAGATAATGCCTGGTGAAGGCTTGCTTCGGTCTGAAATGACAACTGAAACCTTGCAAAGTTGCACCATGCTTCTGTGAGCTTGCTGCACTGATTTAACTAGTGGAAATGGTTATCATTGTGTCCTGTGATGTGCTGTAGCAGAATTCATAACTTTAATAATGTTTTCTTGCATTCAAAGGCTCTTGCAGATATGCTGAGAGTAAACACAAAACTAAAAAGCTTAAACATAGAATCAAACTTCATCACTGGAGTTGGAATTTTGGCCCTGGTTGATGCACTGAAAGACAACGAAACATTGACAGAGATCAAAATTGATAATCAGGTGAGTTAGGTGGTGGTAACATAATTAAGATCAGTCTGTCCTAGTTGACTGAATATTTTTAGAAGGCAGCTGCAGCTTGTGATAAACTTTCCAAGATGTTTTACTTTTTAAATAGCTTAGCCTCACAAATGATTGTCCTTAGGATTCTCAGAAGCATCCAGTTGAAGTTGATTCCTGGGCACTTCTGTGCTTCCTTGTGCTTTAAAGTGCACAAACATATTTTTTCTGACCTTTTAGATTAATCAAAGTGAAGTGTCATCGACTGATAAGGTGAAACTATTCTGATCTCTGTTAGTGTGAACACACATAAGCTCTGTTGTCTTTGTGTACCTCTTACTTTAACAGAGGCAGCAGCTGGGCACAGTTGCAGAAGTAGAAATTGCCAAGATGCTTGAAGAAAACACCAAGATCCTCAAATTTGGATACCATTTCACACAACAGGGACCTCGAGCCAGGGCAGCTGCAGCTATCACAAAAAACAATGATTTGGGTAAGACCTGTGAGTGGAGAGTGACTGTTAAATGAATGTGTGTGTGGTACAGGTTGTAAAGGTGTCTGGTTTTTCTGCTTTTCTGTTGACAAGACCAGGATAACAAAATATGAGGAGATCAGTTTCAGATTTCTCCTGTGCTTTATGCCTACCCTTCTGTTGCTGCTCGATGCTCTCTTTTAATTTTGTTGCAGGTTGTTCAGGTGTACGAGTTGAGGACATTTAGCACAGTCTAGAACAAGAACATTCAAATTCCACTTAAGTTGTGGCAAAGGGAGGGAAAAGAATAGTTTTAATTGTGTGGTTTTATTCAGATAAAATACATGGTTTCTTTAAAAGCAGTACCTGAAGTTAATAGTGCGGGATGCCCTCTCCAGTGCTGGCACAGCCAGCCCCATGTGGATTGCTTGAGCAAGGAAACCCAACGTCCTGTCATGTGCAGGGGCTAGGACTGGGTCATCTCTTCCCTTATGACTCTGTCCATGCACAGTACCTTCCTTGTCTCTTGTAAAGGCCGCTGGTAGCAGCAGCATCTTTATTTGCTGCAGCAAGTTTTGTTGGAGCTCATCTACATTAGCCACCTACAACTGCCTCAAGGGAGGTTGTGGAGAGGTGGGTGCTGGGCTCTTCTCCCAGGTGATGGGGGATAGAACAAGGGGAAACGGCACCAAGCTGTGCCAAGGGAGGTTCAGGTCAGAGATAAGGAGGAAGTTCTTTACTGAGAGGGTCGTCAGAAGCTGGACCAGGCTGCCCAGGGAGGTGGTGGAGTCACCATCCCTGGATGTATTTAAAGAGCGGGTAGACGAGGTACTTAGGGATATGGTTTAGGGGGTAGACAGGAACGGTTGGACGTGATGATCTCAGAGGGCTTTTCCAACCGAGAGATTCTGTGAAAGTGGTCCATCTATTTAAATAGAAATACATTTTAAAACTCCGTTTAATTAAACTCTTTGGCTTTAGATGCCTTGTGGTAAGGTTGACATGTCTCACCAGTGTGAAAATGGGCCAGGCAGTTTGGTGGTGGTGGTAGTAGTAGCAGCAGTAGCAGTTCAGGAATACATTGGAGGGCATGACATAGGAAATTGGGCTTTGGTTTAAAGATCTGCTTCCCCTCTGAGTAAAGTTTAAAGTGGAGGAGAACAGCTCAGAAAGAAATGCAGGAGGAGTAACAGAACTGAGCACAGAGAATGAAGAAAGGCACTCAGACACTGCATAACCATTTCCCCAAATAGGTTCTAAAGCAGTTATTTTCTCATCAAAACGCTTCAGGTGTCTCTCTCTTTTCTTTTAAGGTTTCTCTTTTCACTATTCCTCATTTCAGTGTTTGACTGTTGGAAATCTATGCTTCTATTGATATCTCACCTTTTTTTCTTTGCTTTCTTAGTCTGGAGTATGCGAGTAAAAGTTTCTGCCAATACCTTTTCATCTCTCCAGCCTTGATGCTACAGAGACAGGCTACCCTGAATACCCAGCTGGGTATCGAGCACTGCAAACGGAGATGTTCAGAGTCTCTCATCTCTGTCTTAGTACGTTTCTGCTGAAAAAAACAATCCTCTAGCAGTCATCTGCATCATCCTTCTCCCTTCTTGACACTGTGGTGTGCTGCTTCCCTTTCCTTTGTCTGGAACTGTGTATGTGTTGCTTTTAACTGCATGACTGGAGAAGTCTGAGGTGGGAAACTTCTGTCTGTTCTTGTGAGTTGATGTAAGCAGGTATGTGTAGTTCAAACCATTTGGATTCACATGGAGATCAGTCTATGGGCTACTCTCAAAGTGAGCGGTGCGTTGTAAAGAGTAAAATTCCAGTGTGATTTTATTCTGGTTGTTTCTCTGACTGTGTCTAAAGCGTTTCTTGAGACAGGAAGAGGGAGAGAAAACAAAACAACTTTCCCTCTGGTATTTTGATCTGAAAGTAAAGAAGATCAAGTCAAATTGCAAATACCTGTAAAACCACACGGATTCCAATTAGTGGATTTAAGAACAGATTCACTTTCTTTTTACACAAATGTGCTTGCTCCACTTGTTTAAACAAAGTGGAGATGTCCTATATAGTTTCTAAGACCTTTACCTTCATTTACTGCGTCTGCAGAGAAAACACAGTTTGATGGGGGGGAAGAAAATACAAATTTAAAGTACTACAAATACTGAATGCTTCTCCAGTCATTCAGTCAATCCTGCATATTCTTAAGTTTAAACAGCATGTGAGTTTAGTGATTTGATTCGCACATTTTGTTGCTCTTGCATTTTCTGACACACGAGTACTTTTTTATTAATAAGTGGAATGTTTGAGGCTGCTTTTTTCAGAATGTACACATTGTGTTAGATACCCCGTGGAACTCTTGTGCTGTTCCTTTTGAAGCCGCATTCTCTACCACTAGAGAAGTGCAATGTAAACAAAAAAAGCCCTGGGTAAATCTGCTTACCAAACAAAACTGTTGACGTTTCCACAAGTCTCTCCTCACGTGTATTTGAAGCTGTTCATGAATGAAACAAGAAGCACTACTACAGCATACGCTTAAAATCATGGATAATACCAAGTGTTGGTTACCTTGAGCTGTGCTATTGAAACTTCATGTGGCAAAGTAGAGAACCACTGGTGTAGTTCCCTCAACTGCTGATGTTGTGGAAATAAACTGGAGTTAGGGTTATAAAATAGTAAACCTTTTTTTTTTCCTCTTGTTGCAGTTCGCAAGAGAAGGGTTGAAGGAGACAACTAGGACATCTTGTCAAGGTTGTGTGGAGATTTCGAGGATCATCAAGGCTCGTTACCTTGGGCTTTGGCAATTTCGGACTGCATTTACCTGGGTTAGAAGGGAAAAGACTGGAAACTCCATTCCTTTTAAAGCAAAGCTATAGTAATAATCTGCTGGCACGCATCACGTTTTTTCAGATTGAGACACAGTAGCTGCAGCAGTCTCTGTACCATCGTTTTTGATTATTTTTGTAAGAACTTTTTTGTATTTCGAGACTTCGGCTGTGCTTTCTACAAAAAAATGTAATTGCAAATCAATGGTGTAATTGTCTGCAGTCAAAGAATGGGACATTCAAGATCATTGGGCAGATAATGGCCCAACTGAAATGTTTGTTAGAAAATCTGGGGTTGCTTATTTACGTGGAGGGGTGTGTATGTTCTTGAAAACAATGCATTAGTGATAAGGGATTCTTCACACAACAGCTGGGCTCATTGTGTAGAGCTGTTCAGCCTTGTTCATATGCACTGATGAGAAATTTTTCACAGCTATCTTACTTGTAATTCTTTGTTTTTTGATTTGTTTTTGATACCGTGGTGAAGTTTAAAGACAGCCCTTTAAACCAAACAGAAATAAATTGGCTAAGGACTTCTCCAGAGAGATCTGAGGGACTAATACAAAAGTGGAAGCCTTGCAGAAGGACAGCTTTTCTATTACATCCAAATCCTTAAAGTTTTTTTCAAAACATCCCATAGCTGTATCTTGCTCTGTACCTGAACTGGATATGTTTTTAGGCCAACTTCATGAGTTCGTCAGCATTATTTAGTTTATATTCTTTGTTTAAAAATCCTTATCTACATTCGTAAGTATCAATTTCTCTAGAAGTAGTGGACATGCATTTATTAAATTCTACATAATTCTGTACAGAAGCAGCAGCCTTAACTGTAAAAGCAGTGTCCTAAGTTGCTGCCAAATGGACAAAAAATCCTTTTTTTCAAGCTGTTGCATTAAGCTATTGGTACTCCATGGAAATCTACCATCTTTTTAATAAAGCAATGAAGTAACACTTCTAAGAAAGGATTTTTCTGTTCTACTTATGTATCGATGTTGAAACACTACATAAGACAAGCAGAAGTTAATCAAGATGCAGTGTCAGATCTGCATGATCTAGTAATTATTAAAGTATTTCAAGTTCTGTATCTAAGCAAGCTAATAAGGCAACAAGAATCACTTCAACTTCTGTACCTAATCCCAGTAGGCTACTTGAAATTCTAGGAAAATCTGGAGGGTCTTGGTGTGGTTTGAGTGGGCTGCACTGATTCGCTCAGTGTGGCCATGAGCTCATCAGCTCACAGAAATGTTCTGAAGGACTGCTGGGCTGTACTGGTAGCAACAGAGTCCAACTGACAGCTGCTTTCACCAAAGGATCATAATCTGGTGAGCATCCCATGCATATAAAACACATTGGACTGAGATTTTTGCATCCTGTTGTGTATACTCTAAAAAAAAATGAACAGAGCAGCTCTCTGACGCCGTGCCCATGTTGTAATTTGCTGCGGGTGTTGTTTTAGTTCTTTAAAGACAGACTTTATTCCGGAGGTGACTTTGAATTTTACTGCAACTGTACAGAGGGTTTTAAACTATAGTGCCTTCAGTGAGGATGTACATAACTGGTTTATACTTGTGGAAGAACTTTTTTTTTTTTCCCTATTTCAATATTGACCTTTTATTAGAATTTTAAATAAATGTGTGCTCTGAAAAGCAAGTTGGAATTAATTCTGTTAAAACCAAAGACCGTAACTTAGTATAACTTCGATACAACTAGAAGCGATCTGGCTAGCAACAAAAAAGGCTTCTTTTGCTTTTGGCTTTTGTATATTTTCAAAAACTTTTTAGGTCTTTAAATGCGAGTTCTTACACGCACGCGGTCACAGGTGAAGTGTCTTTTTGCAGGCAGTGCTGTATAAACGTAGCCAAAGCGCGTCACGTGCCGAGGCGCCTGAAGTCGTACGTTACTTCTTATTTGCTAGGCACCATGGTCGTTTTGTGTCAAAAAAAACCCCAGGCTGTAACGTCTTCCTTCGTTTGTTGAAGGGCTGCTTGTTCATGGAAATCTGTTCACGTGCTGTGATTCTATCACGATTTATTTTATCACTGTCTAACGAGATTAGGCAGTTATCTCCTCCTTGAAAACGAAGGAGAAAAATGAAAGGCTGGATTATGCCAATGATAGCCCACATCCCTTCCTTACTTTATTAAATCGAGTTTAGCTGCTTAATGATTTATACTCCAGTCAAAGGCAGGGGCTTTTAAGCTGCAACTCTCAGGTGTCCTGTCACAGATGGACCTTCATCGTTAGTTTAGCTCTGTAGACAGTAGCGAAATACTTGACTGCTTGTTGGCACTTTCAGGACAGGTATCTCGCAGACCAGGCACAGAAAACTCGTTTTCTTTCAACCAGAGTGGTTTGGCCCTCCAAATTATTGCAAGACACTTGGCACTGTGCATGGAACGGTTACAACAATCATTTTTGTGCCTGCAATGTGTATCCTTTTTGGAATAAATGAAGGAGTTCAGTCTGTAGCCAGGAATCAGAAATGGTCTCAACAAGCAAAGCGAGCACTGATGTAATGCTGTCGAGTATAGGGAGATCTTGTGTATGACTTCATTATATACTCATATATATAAGTGGTATTACTTTGATAACCAGCTACCATAAACACAAGGTCTTTTTTTTCTGATAGAAATGACACGTTTTTCTTCTTGATTCATTTTCAGGCTTAATGCAGAAGTCAAATGACCACGTACGTTGGTTCTGTTGGTTCCAAGCTAAGCATGGAAACCTAGTCTATATTCCAAAGCAATTACCTGTTTACTGGGGTTTTTTAAAGAAATAGCCTCATCGGGTTATATTGTTTGTAAGCTACAAACAAGCAAGTGTACAATTTAAATTTCCCTGGAGGAAACATGAACTGAGTGTTTTAGTGTATCGGCACTGTATGCTGTCAGACTGTAAACCAGGAAACGTTTTGGATTATTAAAGTACTGTATTCTTCTTGTGGTTTGGGGATTGGTTTGTTTGTTTTTCAGTACTGCACTGACTCGCTTGAAGTTCACCCATGCGTTTATGTCAATTCATTTCTTTTTCTCCTGTTGGA